CAGCTGTAAGTAGCCAGATTACCTACAAGACTGTAGAAATTAGAGTGGCAGCAGACCATAATTGTAAGAATGTGTCTTAGAGATCACAGAACTACATCTTCAAATACAAGCAAAATTATTGGATGTTAACTTTGAAAGTGGCTAGCAAAATAATTCAAACACCAGAGTTTTGAAATAGGTTTTCAAATATTACATTGATAAATAACAATCTGATGCATTATGGTGGTGAACATGTGGAACAACGAGCAGAAGCATAAATGACACTTTTGAGAGTAATTTGACGATGTCATTTTTTTTCAGTGACTGAGAAGTTTTACTTATGTGTCCTTGTGTATCTTTCTGTCTATATGCATTTCTTAGCATTGTTTGTTGATCTCTTTAAACCATGATAAAACTGAAATCACACTTTTAGGAAATAAAACTTACCTTCTGTACATGCATTACACTTTTGTCTATCTCTGTGTCTTGTTACTTTATTCACTTTTATTTTTCTTGTACTCCTACCGTTTTGCTATTTTGCCACTTTTATTTTTCAAAAGCTGTTGTGAGCCTGGCCCACTAATGTGATTTTATTGATGGGTTATGCATGTTTGTTTGAAAAGCACTACCTTAAAGAAACTCAAACATTAGTGTAAAGAGAAAAGAATAGAGATATTTCTAGCAATATTATTTGTAAGAGTAAAATATTAGGTGCTATATTATGCCCTAATAAATGGAAAATAAACTGTGTTATAACCATGTAAAGACTTTATAAGTCATAATAAATCAGTGAGCTACAAAGCTCATATTTAACAGATCTACTTATAATCTTGGGTATAAGAAGTAAGTTGATGGAGAATATATAAAGTATATTTATATGAGGCTTAATGCAAAGCATACTGTATGTGTATAACTATGGAGAAAAATCAGGATTTCTGTGTGCAGATAACATATTTTTCCTTAAGTTAGGTGGTGGGTACATAGGTGTTTTAAAAATAATATCTTACTGTCTTTTTATATCAAAAATATCTTACAGTAATTCTTTTCGAAATGGAGGTGGGCTGAAATGTAGCTCAGTGGTTGAGTGCTTCGTTAATGTGTGGAAGGCCTTGCATTGGATCCTTCAGCATGGTTTTAAAAAAAATAGTAAAAAGCAGTACTGACAGTTCAACTGTTAGGTTTCTCTCAGAAAATATAATAAAAAGAATTGGCTGTAATAAAATTTGAGACCTATAGACTAGATTCAAGAGACCAGTATTAAGAAATAGGAATTCCAGAAGTAAAAAAAAAATGCAGTGCATGTAGTAGAAACTATAAATAATAAAATGATAGGATAAATATTTCCTAAGATTAAAAAAAACTTGAAATAAGACATGCTGAAGTCAATTTCTGGTAAAATCAAGTACTGGTAAAATTTCTTAATTTCAAGAATCAAGATCAAATTTCTAGCTAGAGAAAAAGGGCAATCCTAGAAATAATCAGATTGGCATTTTTTTTTCTTTCGGTAGCATTGTATAAAGAGATACTGGAAATATTCCTATGGCATTCTGAGGTAGAGTTTTACGTACGGCAGAACTGTTTCAAATATGAAGGCAAAACATATAGTCTTTCAAAATGACTATGAACTAGCACAGTTTTAAATAAATGAACATGTTATTTTGAAGTACTTAAGCAAAGTGAAATGCATTAAGATAAAGAATTCTGGGCCAATAAAGAAGGTATTTATTAAACATTGACAGAAACAAATGACAAACCCAAACCTGAACCATCAGTGAAACTTAAGGATAAATCTAAAGAATTAATTAATAAAATATTTTGAAATATAATATTAGAGAAAATATTTCTGATAAACTGGAAGATACGAAGGGAAAAATGACAACTCAGAAATAAAATTTTATTTATTTATTTATTTGTTTTTTTTCCGGTACCGGGAATTGAACTCACGACCTTGTGCTTGTCAGGCAGGTGCTGTGCCGCTGAGCTAAATCCCCAGCCCCAGAAATAAAATTTTAGATAATTTAGTCTACTTGTGCTATAATAAGGAAGAGTACAGTAATTGAGGCGGAAGACTACTATGCTTATAATTTCTATGCGTAGAATTACAGCAGTGGCTACTTTATACTTCTTGATGTTTATAAAGAAATACAGACAAATACGTGTTGAAAATTTCAGTAGTTTCATTAAAAAAGGCAAATGAACAACTCTCCCAACCTTCTGCCTGTTTGAAAGGACTAACCATGTATTACCAAAAAAAAAAAAAAAGCCTGTGACAGAATTAAGTAGTAAGAAAAGGTGATGCTGGTGCTGCAAATTTAAGGGAATTCCTTTAATATAGAGAGCAGGTGGGGTGAGAGGAAAGGAGAAAGAACAAAAGAAACTTCTGACTAAAAAGTGAAAAGCTGAGGAACATACTATCTGTGTTATTAACAGTTTCAGAGGAGAAGAGTGGACTGTGGGGACATCATAATAAATTTGAAAACTGCCTGTATCAGCTCATACTTCCCCCTTCCTCTTTTCTGCAGAATAATGGTCAGCAGGTGTGTTGGTCTGGAGGATAGAATCTAGGCTTTTGTAGATGATGATTCTGTAGGTTTCTGGTATGTATATTGGAATTAGAAAGAGTAGAAGAGTAGAGAACACTAAAACTCCATACTGGGGAAGGAAAAGGAAGAGGAAAGAAGTCTTTATCTCTGTGTAGTATACTAACACTGTTATGATTTAAATATAAAGACTGAAGTAGTGAGAGCTTGATTGCCTATGCAGCAAGGATCAGGGGTGAGTGAGGCCTTAAGGAGATAATCAGGTTATGAGTGTTCTAAGTTGAATGGGCTATTAGGAAGTGGAGCCTGGTTGGAGGAAATAAGACATTGGGATTTACCTTTGAATGGTATCTTGTCCCACTTCCTTGCTCTCTGGCTCTTCCATGCTCTTTGTTTCTGGCCAGCATGAGGTGAGCAACTTTCTTCCACCATGCCCCTTTACTGTGATGTGACCGCCTTGAAATGGGCCAGCTGTGAGCTGACTGAAACCTCTGAAAGTGTGAGCCAAAATAAATCCTTGAAGTTGTGTTTGTCAGCTCCTTTGTCCCAGCTATAGAAAAGTGACTAATGTTCTACCCCCAGACTAAAGCTTTCTGTGTTTGCAGTCTTGGGGCTTCTAGCTCACAGTCAGTTTTATGAGTTTCTCTAGGGTAGCAGAGGGTAGCAGAGATTAGGGTGCCAAGACTCAGGGAATGGCTTCCAAGGTAGCCCCAACTCTATTACAGGTTAAAAATATTGCTTTAGAATTCTACATTCTAAAATGTAGGGCAGTCGGAATTATAACACAATTAACACATGCTTGATTTTATATATATCATGCATGATTTTATTTTGTATATGTCATGCTTGATTTTATATATATCACATACATTTTATATTCTGAGTAATGTGAAGAAGCAAAATGTGAGGACAGTATGTGTAGTATGGAATATGTGGTCAGAAATTATGTACAGAAGTTCAGATATGCATAAGAAAGAATGTGAAATACTAATAAAAGTTTCCTTTTGAGAAAAAGAAATGAAAGGAATATTTTTGCTATTTTAACTTACAATATTGTTTGGCAAGGAATTTTTTATTTAAAAATTAATAAAATATATTGGAGGGGGATGCAGGAGGACAAGATGAAGTTAGCTGTGGTTACCTAAATTAGCAACTTTTAAGTTACACAAGCTTGTGGCTTTCCTTTATAGAATATACTTTCCTATTTCTAATTCTTAGCAACTATCTCCTTACAGATTTTTTAACCTAGAGTATGGGGGTGGAGATGTCTCATAATTCCTTCAATGTATATAGATTTTGTGAGAGATGGTATATATGTAGAGAATAGACTAAAGTGTGGATCTTTAAATTGTAGCTATTGCTTTATTGCTAAAGGATAGCACACAGTATCTTTTGTGGAAATGAGTCAGCATATTTATAAAGTTAAATAATGAATGGTAAAGAAAAAAAGCCAGCAGAATGACATCATCAGGATTCTGAGATATATCCTGGTATGTTGTTTCAGGTTGGGTCTAGAAATTACTTAGCAGAATATTAATATATGAGTATAATCATAGAGATGTGATGTGGTATTCTGGATCACCTGAAAGGCTTCATCCTTTTTATGTGAAGAGATGGGTATGACCCTTGGTCTCTTATGCCACATCTACTATAAACTTCTGAACCCTCCACCATCATTCAGGATGCATCTCTAATGGTTGAAGAAGTGGTGGAGGATGGAATGGGGCAGAGAACCTGCGGATCCTTGCCTGGGACAAGTTATGGAAAGAAAATTTTACAGGTATTCTTCTTATATATTTTACTTGGATATTGGATAAAATAGTTCTTTTTCTGGAAGGACTGGGCAGTGAGGGGTGGTAGATAGGAGGGCTGGGATGGAGCAGAGGTCATTTCCAGGAGTGGTAGAAAAATTGGGAAAGAGTATCAGCATCTCTTTGTTTTTCTTGCGTAGCTTTTCGGTTACTTCCATAATAAGAGAAGTTCCATAATAAAAGAATTCAAGAACTCAGAGTTCTTGAATTGCAGACTCACTTATATAGTAATAAGATTCACCAGGAACATTGATAGATACATGGTATTGACTTAATAGTATTAACTGTTAGTAACCATTAGAAACCTATGGAAAATGTTTAGACTTATGAATTGTATTGAATATTAGACATTCTGAATATATGCTTAAAACTCTTTGTAGTAAACTCATTGATTATCTTTTCTTTGGTTATATTAATTGGCTGTTTAACCATTTGACACTCTGATTTATTTCTGAGGCTTTAAGATGTCTCACACAGCTGTGCATTTTAATTAAGCAGTTAATAAATTTGGAGTTCCTTAAGTTTTAAGCTCTTGATTTTTCTCTAGGGTAGCAGAGGGTAGCAGAGATGAGAGTGCCAAGACTCAGGGAATGGCTTCCAAGGTAGCTCCAACTCTATTACAGGTTAAAAATACTGCTGTAGAATTCTACATTCTAAAATGTAGGGCAGTCGGAATTATAACACAATTAAATGGAAGTGAACAAAGACATATCAACACAAAATTCGCCAGGGTAAATTAATTGAAATGAAATGTACTGGTGTTTTGTTTTTTTTTTTTTTTCCTTCTATTTTGTTTCAGTGAAAATAAGAAATGTTGCTCTTAAGAGAGAATTTTGTATTATTTTCTCTTCTTTTTTTTCCCCCTCCTCTAGCTTGGGAACTAGGAAAAGAGCCATGTTATGTGATCTTGTCTTCCAGTCCAGTTTGAATGAAGAAAAACCCATTGAAGACTCGTTTAAGAACAGTGTTTTTTGAAGAAGGAAAAGAAATACTATTTGAGAGAAGGCAAACAAACAAAAAGGGTGATGGAAATATGTATCTTTGTTGTATTTGTAACCCCAAGAGAACAACCTATAGTGAACATAGAGAACTGAGGAGTAAATTAAAGAATGACTGAATTTTGTGGGTTTTGATTTAGAAAATAATGGTCATTTTCTAATAAAGAAAAACAATGGGTGGTTAAGAGCACAACTTTTTGGCTCTGCTGTATGTCATTATCACGTACTCTGAACATTCAAAACTACTCCTTTTCCCCTTTGACAGCATTTTTCCTTGTAATTCAGCAGTGCTTCCAAGAAAAATGAAAATATATGTCTGCCAGAGCCTAAAAAGTACAGTTTGTATATTTGACATTAGACTTTGTAGTGTATCTCTCTCTTGAATTTTAAAATTTTATAGATCTCAAACACCAGTCATTGTGGGATTTTGTCAATAAATAGTAATTTTTCAAACTGAACAATGGTGATTTCTATCCATATTGTGATCAATACGCCATTTTATTATCCATAGACTGCTTGATGAACTGATTTTTTACACTTAAATGATTATGTTATGATTTGTAAATTTTCCTTGCGATTTTATTAGTATATATATCAAAATAATTTAAAATAGTAAATTTGTTATAGTATCAATATATATTGGGAGATATTGATTTTATATTAACTTTCTACTAAATCTTGGTATAAACCGAGATCTGCAATGACAAATCTCAGGTTTTTGGAAATTAAGAATTTATGTGTATTATATAGAAAATATCTCATGAATTTATTTGTGTAGATTTTTTAAAATTGAATTTTTATTTACTTTTTATAAGTATGTAATCTTACTGTATTAGCAGCTTTTCTTTCCTTTGAAAGGCAAAAAGAGGAATTCATGGTTTTTAGTTTAAGATTATTTCAGTTCTCAAGCCCAGTACTGTAATATGAATTCTGAACATTGTTTCTCATTCTTCAAACTTCCCTTATATTAAAGGATTTTTTGAACAAGTTGTGATTCATTTTGAATATATCTCAATAATAGTAATGGGTTTTTTCTCTGACAAGAATTTCTTGAGAGTCTCTCACATACACTGGGGTTTCTTTTGAGTGGTTTTTTTTTTATTAATGTAGGATAATCTATTTATATGAAGGTATGGCTTTGCTTCAATCTGAGACAGTGAATTATGCAAGCATATTCTTTACTACATTTTTTGTGATAACCTAGGAATAACATTAGTGCATGTCCAGGAGAATGGTTGCAATTTAAGTGTTAAAATGAATTCACTTTTTCTATATATATTAAGGAATATCTGTGATGTTTTAAGAGCCAAGGAAAGCAATGTAATTCATAAAGTATTGTATTTATAAAAAAGTTGTATTTCCATAAAGCAGGTAATGTGTGAGCCTAAAGAAAGATGTAATTATTTTGATATATGGGCCAGAGGTTAAAGAGGGATAAGGGTTTTTTCTTTTTTATATTTTTATATTATTATGTTGGTTTCAATGAAAGTACTACTTTTTTAAAATTTTCAAGGCAGAGTTTTTTAAAGATTTATTTTTTTTGTAGTACTGGAGATTCAATCCTAGGCCTTTGCACTGAGGTACAGCCCTAACCCTTTTTTAATTTTTTACTTTGAGGCAGGGTCTTGCAAAGTTGTCACATTTCCCAGGCTGGGCTCAAACTTGGAATCATTCTTCCTGAGCCTCTCAGAATGCTGAGATTTTATGTGTGCACCACCATACCTGGCCAAGGAAGAGTTTACAGATTTTGAAAACTACATAAAATGTAGCTCTTACTATATTTTGTAACTCTACAGAAAAACTTACTAATACATAAAAATAAAATACTTACAGTGGTCAGTGAACTCTATCTCTGTCTATCTTTATCTCTGTCTCTGTCTCTATCTCTAATCTATAGATCTATATCTATCCATCCATCCAGAGCCCACCCAAAAAAAAAAAAAAAAATGTATACACATCTCAGCTGTTTGTTGTACTAATAAATGTTTGGAAGCTAATGGCCACCAGATTGAGCACCTCTTGCAATTATAGAGGCCAAAGATAACTTGTTTAAATCTCTTGATATCTCAGTAAATTTAGTATTAAAATATTCATACATTTTTCTTTTTCTGAAGTGTATATACATTTTTTGGTAGTCTCTCTATGTTAAAAAATAATTTTATTTTATTGCTAGTCTTGCGAATTAGGGAGAACTCAACATTGATTGTAATTCCAAGACTCAACATTGATTGTAATTCCCTGGGACATGGAGATAGCAGCCAGTGTTTCGTATAGTAGATGAAAGGGTTAGTATGGACACTTGAAATGTAATAAAAATTTCAGTTTAACCCATTTGTCTCCTTAATTTCAATGCTTTTGTGCTGGAGATAGTAAATTGTCCATGAAAGTTTGACTAAATTGTATATTTTTCTCTATATTCCTTTTTAGAAAGGACAGGGAAAAGAGGAACATTAAACAGTGTAAAGAGAAAAAAGATGAATGTCATTTGAATGGTGTACTGTGCTCGAGAGCAAGCTGACTAGATCTAGTCATTAATTCTGCCTGTGGCATTAACTAGCTGTGTAGTATTTGCTCAGATCAAAAACTTTTTGATACCTGTTTACCCAGCTGTCTGATAGGAGTTTGCACTTATAAATATTGTGATCTCTCTTGGAAATATGATTACATAATACCTGAATAATAGAGATCTGATGTTAAAATGTATTTCATCTGCCAATAAAATGGAACTGCTTTTCCTTTGGGGGAATGAGGTTAATGTGATGCATACATTTGTGAAGTTGGACATTACTTTGTTCAACTAGAGTATAGTAGTAGCATTTTTTCCTTTAAGTCCTGATTACTGCTATGTTAGGAAAATTATTACAGTGGCAAATTCCCAAGGTTGCTTTGGACTTGAGCCCATTTCCTAAAGTACAGCAAAGTGATATTGATTTGGAGGTGCCAGGAAATAATCAGCTATTATATTGGAGACAGCGGTCTTTAAGTTTATTTTGTGTTGTGCCCATAGATTTGTGTATGTAATTTAAAAAAATTAACCATAGGTTTACATTATGAGATCATTTTATAGTGAGGTGTGGAAATGTATATAATGCACAAAAATTTAGGAAAAAATCAGATTAAAATGAGATTTAATGAATAGCCTTTTGTAAATAACTGTTTACAATAAGTGCTTCTGAACATACTCTTCATTGTTCCATAGTTGAGACCTCAAAGTATGACTATGGTGACTTTACAGTTTATTAATGCTTTATTTTGAGCTCAAAACTGAACTCCTTACCTTCTTTGCAAGCCTGATCAGCCTTTACCCTTATTTTGAGGAATGACTTCTCCATCTGTCCACTTGTTTCAAGTCCTTTACTACTTTCCAATAACCACTATATCCAGTAGGCCCTAAATTATTAAAGTTTCTTTGTAAGGTCTTGATTTTTGCATCCCATCTGTGAATGTCAGCCTTACTCGTACTGTCCATACTTTTCTTAAAGGGTCTTTCTAAAGGGAAATCTGATCAAATCATCCTTTGTCTTCCTCCCTTTCCTTTAAAATTCTTCTTTGATAAAGGACTGAACTCATGAAGGGCCTGTTAGATCTTACAAGATCTGTGAAAACACATAACCTTGGTTCACTTCCCTGCCTGCTCCTCCACTCTTATCACTATGACCACTATGACCTCTGGCAGGAATAAGTAAGTATTTGTGGGAATAATTAATTTTCTTAAAGATCTTGAGAGATGGGAAAAGCACAGGATATAGAATGAAAAATTATGTTGACTTTGTGTTCCTAAAAAACTTTTTTTTTTTTTTTTTGTCTTTTTGAGGCAGGGTCTTGCTATGCAGTTCAGGCTGGCCTTGAGCTCACTTTGTAGTTCAGACTGGTCTCGAACTTCAGACGATCCTCTTGCCTCAGCCTCCCAAGTGCTGGGATTACAGGCATGCGCCACCATGCCTGGCCCCTAGAGAACTTTTTAAAGCAGTGTGTTCTATTGGTTATTTGTGAGTTGAGTTTTGTATTTTCCTTTTTTTTTTCTGTGTCCTTTTCCTGAAAAACTTCCATTTTGGTTCTCTTTCTTTAACCAGTACAAAGTTGGTAGGTACTTCTTATCTATCAAATGACTTGGTTTTATGAGCCTTTGGTCACCTAAAGAGATCCAGAAAAGAACAAAATAAAAACTTCTCTTCTTTATGTTGTAGAGGACTTACTTTTTTTCTTGAAAGCCAGTTGAAATTGTAATTAGCTGCTTTACCAAATTACCACTTAAATGTCACATTTCATTGTTGGTCCTTTTTCTAGGCTGAGTAATAGAGATCATTTAGAATTCATGTCTGGGATTTTATCACTGAAATATTTCAAAACCATTTATTGATTACTGATTTTGGATATTTTCATGTTATATATGATACTGATTTCTAGTGTCATGACTTACTGAAGATTCACTTTTTCCTTCATTAAATAAGTAGTCACATAGAGTGCTATGTGAATTATATATTAATAGAAGTTTTAAAAATAAGCAGAAGTACTCTCATAAACCTTAAGCTGAATTCTTTCACTCTTCTGTCAGGCACATTGTCGCCTGAAATCAAGATAAGGGATTTAGTGAAACCATTATCTACAAGTCTATTTTTAACAAAGCCTATTAAACACACTCTGCTTTTCATTGTTTCACAATTTGAGAATTTGTAATTGACTCTTTCTCTGAATGAACACGTCCTTTAATGCTCCTACTTTCTCACCCATACCGATGACTTTGGCTTTTAAATTACTAGTTGGTCATTGTGCAGATCCAAACTTTTCAAAGTTACTCACTTACAGTTTCAGAGATTTTAACCTCTCCCACCTCCTCCTCCACAGTTGCTCACATTATCAGGCATTCAAAATTATTATTCAAGGTAGCAATCCACCTACCTTGAAAGGTGTATAAAAATGGTATCAATTGATTTTTTTGTAGGATGAATTTTCATTTTTCCAGGGTGAATATTCCATTTGGTATATAAAAAGCATTCAGTAATGCCTTTTAGTTGAGTAACTGATCTTTCTTCAAATAACACTGCCACTCACAAGGTTATTTCTTAAAATAGCATCTCTAAGTTTAGCTTTTTGTTTACTTCTGTTTACTTGTATTATTTATTATGGTAAAGGCA